TGGGGAGTGCATGCACCCTAAAGCAAAAACCTCTCTCAAAAAAAAAAAAAAAATCTAGAATGATGTTATAAAATGTGTTGGGGGGGGACTCACTTTCTGGAAGCACTTTTCATAGACTGTTACTAAAATAATTATTCAATAAAATTTAAAATGCAGGTTAAGTAATAACTAACTTTTGGGACCAGCTGTTGGTGTAATAGCTATGTCGCTGGACTCCCATGTACTCGACCATGGTTCAAGTCCCGAACCCGGTGGCTTAAACTCACACAGGGTGCGTGTGCATGCGTGCCCAAGATCCTGAGAGGAGAATGGAGGAGAAGGGATTGTGGCATGGCCATTCTCCCCAGGGGGTGATTTCTTGCTTTCTGTCTCTCTGGCAAGCTCAAGTGCCCTATAGAAAAACCTCTCCAAAAAAACCTCCACAAAAACTAACTTTTAAAAATAAGCAGGCAGTAGACTATGGTGGTTAAGAGCAGCGGGCTCTGGAGTCAGGTTACCTGAGTTGGAATGCTGGCCCTCACCTCCAACTAACCAAGTCTCAGGCAAACTTAACCTCTCTGTGCTTCAGTTTTCTCATTTGAAAAATAAGAATAATGTTAATGCCTGCCTCATAGATTGCTGAGATTGAAGTAAAGTGCTTAGAACAGTATCAATGCAAAGGACCAATGCTCCATAAAGGTGAACAATTTTAAAATCACTGCTTTTATGCACCAAAAACTTAATTTAGTAGAGTCTGAACTGCTTATCTTAATTTGTAAACCTACACTGATCAGGAAGGGAACACAAAAGCCATTTGGAACAATGTAAAAATGAGCTACTCTCAATGCAAATCTCTGGGTATAGGATGCTGTTAACTAAAGAAAGGAGTGATTCTGATATAATATTCAAAACAATGGCTGGCTCTATGGCACAGAGGTAATGTGCTACTAAAGGGAAGCTGGATCCAGCATGGCAATTGTGGTTCGAACCCCTTATCTGGTTAGCCTGAAACACACCAGGCACATGTGATGTCAGACCAGCTAGAAGACCGGAGAAAGAGACCATGGTGTGACCAGACCCTATGGAGGATGCTCCACTCTCCCTTGCTCATGTGCACACACACATACTCTATCATGAATAAAGAAAACAACAATTACAGCAGTGCTATTCTCAACAGCCTCAAACTGGAAAAAATCAAAAGCACTATCAACAGCATCATGGATAACTATGGTTTATTTATCCTAACACTCACAATACTACACAGAAATGAGGATGAATGTAACTATTCCAACTTGCAACAACCTGGATGAACTTCACAAATGCAATGTTTAGAAAAGGAACATAAAGGAGTATAGACCACAAAATTCCATTTACGCAATAATTACTAGAATGCATTATTATGAGGGGGGTTCTGGAATGCTCATAATATTCTATTTCTTGATCTGGAGGCTGTTTGCACAGGTTTACTTTGTGGAGATTCACCAAGCTGTACATTCATGATTTGTGCACTTTTCTCCATGTAACTTTCATCTCCACTTTAACTTTCATCACAAAGTTAAAACAAAGAGTACTAGGTAGTGAACCATGTCATTAAAATTACATATTTTGACCTCCTGAAGAGATGGTACCTTAAGACATTCCACATATTCTGCTCAACGAATATTTGTGGAGAGCTTCCCTGTGTGCAAGGTACTGTTCTAGGAGCTGAGGCTCTGACAGTGATCAGCACAGCATTACTCTCTCAGGTAGCTTATGCTCTACTTAGGGAGGTAGATGATACACACACAGACGTGACATGCCAATCTGTGAGGACTTGTGAAAAAAACTAATGCAGGATAAGGAGATAGAAATTTCTATCTTTTATCAAGCTTCTGACACAGAGAGGGCCTATCTAACAGGCTCTTTACATCCCAAACCACCTCTCCCCTCTCGGCTGGCCCAGATCATGAGTGCATGAGTGCCTGGTGGGCTCAGGGAGGTCCTGGGATGTGAATCTAGGGCTTTTCCCATGTGGGCCCATTTGCAACATCACCTCGCCCTCGGGAAGGCCTTTCTGATGTAACATCTAAGCACACGCTAAAGGAAGAGTCACTTAGCTCTCTAGGGGAAAAGCAATCCATGCAGATAAATTAGTGGAACGACTCTGAGATAGGAGTGAGCTTCATCTGTCTAAACAACACAGGAGACCACTACATGTCTTGGCGTTAGGTTATGTGGAGCAACTGTCCAACAGAACTCAATGTGACCATGGCACTGCTCCTCATGGCAGCCAACTGCCACATGTGGCAACTGAGAACTAGGAATGTGAGCAGTGTGACTAAGAAATTGAATTTTTAATTTTATTATTTTGAATTCGTGAATTAAAATTTAAGTAGCTACTTGTGGCTATCTGCTACCATGTCAGACAACGCAGAGATAGACCCTCGTAGGCCGAGGTTAAGGCTGAATTCATGATGAGTAAGATGGGAAACTACCAGAAGGTTTTGAAGAGAATAGTGACAGGATTTGATTTAGATTTACAGGACATTTGTGCTGTTGTTTGAAAGCAGACTGCAGGCCCTGCTCCAATGATACAGACAGCACAGCCATGTGGGAGGAAGAGGCTGCAGAGGAGGCCCCGGTTTGGTTCCTGGTCAATATGAATATACCGGATATGGCGGTATGCACCTGTAACCCTAACTGTTAGGGAAGCTTGGGCAGGAGGATCAACATGGCAAGACTGTGTCAAAAATATACATCTCTAAGGCCAGCAGGCAGTGTGGAGGTTAAGGTGCTGGACTCCCACACGGCTGACTACAGTCTGAGTCCTGGATCTGGTGACCTGCTTTTTCATTTTCTCTCTTCTCTCTCTCGACCATACATACTCTATAGCAAAGTAGTAACAAAAATAAATTAAGTAATTTTTAAAAAATATCCATCTCTGTCTTTCTCCTGAGAGAGAGAGAAGAAAAAAAAAAAAGCAGGCTACAGTGGTTTCCTTTGTGATTTTGATTTCTGTGATTTTGGTTACCCATAGTACAGTACAGTAAGATATTTTGAGAGAGAGTGACAACACTAACATAACTTTTGTTACAATACATTATTAAAATGATTCCATTTTATTACTAGTCACTGTAAATTTCTTACCATCCCTAATTTATAAATTAAACTTCATTATAGTAGGTTGGTACTATCCATGGATTCTGGAATCTGCTGAGTGTCTTAGAAGGTGTCTCCTACAGATAAGAAAGGACTGTTGTATTGTTTGTAAGAAACAAGGGATGAGGGGGCAAGAGTAGAATCAAGTGAAAGAGGTCACAGTGGTTTGGACTGAATAGTAGCATGAGTGATAGCAGTGCAGAAGGAAATAAGTTATATTCGGAATATATTTGATATATGCATAATTTATATACATCATTTGACATAGACTGGTTTGTCAGAAGAGTCACGATATATTTTTTTCTATGCAAAAATGCATCATGACTCTTCGGACAACCCAGTGATTTACATGCATATGCCACTGGCTGAAATCTAATACAAATGTAATAAATCAACAACACTCATATACTTGTATTTTTCTACCAATGCTACCTAAATAAAAAATATAACAGCCTTAAGATATAAATCCCAATTCTTTTTATATCATTGTGAAATAATTAGTGTGTTAACACATCCAAAATATTAAGAGACCATTTCTCTAAAGAATTAGGCCTTTCTTAACTGTATGTACAGTATAAATGGTTCTTGAAATTTAATTCTAAATGACACTGCCTGGTATTTTCTCATTATATTGTACTTTAGTAAACGTAAAAAGGCAAATATACTAACCTTAATAAAAATGGATCTTAACTGAAGAGCCACTAGCTTCCTTGAAGGCAAAGAATATACTACAAAGGAGAAAATGATATTAGATGGTTAAAATGAAAAAGCTATACAAACTAAAATTATTAATATGGCAAAAAAAAAATAAAAATTAGGGGCTAGCCTCTTAGCCTAGTGATGAAGGAAGCCAGATCCCACATGGCTGACTCAACAGTTCATGTCTCAGCCCTGGTGGCTTGAGGAACACACCAAGCATGGTGCATGCATGTCCCAAATCCCAACAGGATGGAAAAACAGAGGAGGAAGGATTACAGTGTGACCACATCCCATCGGGGTTTTTCCCTCTTTGTTTTTCTCTCACTCTGGTGAATGCACATGCCCTCTGGCAATTAAAAAAATACCGAATTATAGTAACTTTGGCATCTAAATATTTTCTGTAATTACATGCACTGTATCACTGGGTTAAAAAGAATATTTTAGAAGTACCTTAAAATGGGGCCAGCAGGGGACCAGCAGTTAGTGTAATGGCTATGTCACTGAACTCCCATGCAGTCAACCACGGTTCGAGTCCTGGACCCGGTGGCTTAAACTCATGCCGGGCGTGTGTACGTGCTTGCCCAAGATCCTGAGAGGAGAAGGGATTGCGGTGTGGACATCCCCCCTGGGGGGTGATTTCTTGCTTTCTGTCTCTCCGTCTCTCTGTTTTTCCTGTGAGCGCATATGCCCTATAGCAAAAACCTCTCAAAACAAAACATACAGGACTTAGAACCAGCAGATGGCATAATAGTTATGTCGCTGGACTCCCATGAGTCGACTTCAGTTTGTGTTCCGGACTTGGTAGTTTATTTATTTATTTCTTTTTCTTTTTTGGAGAGGTTTCTTTTTTGTTTTTGTTTTTGGTTTTTTTGCTATAGGGCACATGTGCTCGCCAGACAGATAGAGAGAGACAGAGAGACAGAAAGCGAGAACTCAACCCCCAGGGGGGATGGCCACGCCGCAATCCCTTCTCCTTCATTCTCTCAGGATCTTGGGTCCTCACTTCTCTTCCTGGGATTTTGGGCATGCATGTACATGAGCCTGGCATCAGTTTTTAAACTACCAAGTCCGGAACACAAACTGAAGTCGACTCATGGGAGTCCAGCGACATAGCCATTATACTAACTGCTGGTCCCTTGGACTTGGTAGTTTAAAAACTGATGCCAGGCTCATGTACATGCATGCCCAAAATCCCAGGAAGAGAATGGAGGAGAATGGAGCTGTGACGTGGCCATTTTTCTAGACGGGTCATTTCTCGCTTTCTCTCTGTCTCTCCAGCAAGCGCATGTGCCCTATAGCAAACATTTCTCTAAAACAAAACAAAACAAAAACCATACAGGACTGAACTCAGTGAATATGCTTTTCCCTTTTCCATATTAGTAATGATTATACATGCCAGCAAGAACAGAAAATAACACCGTGGCTAGCTATAAGGAGAAAAGAGTGTCATATTGAAAAAAAAAATGAGTATCTTAAATTCTATCCAAAAATACAAGTACAATCTGTACTCAAAATCCTCACAGGAGTTACCATTTAGAGAAAACCAGTAATTAAAATCAGGATGTTAAAAAAATAGGACAATGAGATTGGGTTGAATTGAATTTTCTAGAAAGCTGGCACTAAATAAATGTTTGCTACAAAACAGTATCTATAGAGTCTATTTCTAAATTAAAATAACTCTACCTTGGAGTAGAATAAGACAGAAGTCTTACATACCTTCAGTATTTATACTGAGTTCTGTTGAATTTTCTTCTGCAGTCGCATATGGATTGTTCCCAACCATTGGCACAAGACAATCGGTATAGAAGTAACCAATCTTAGACATATTCAGTGTAGAAATAATCAGATCTATTGCAAGTTGACCAACATTTCCAACAGATACTGCTGGCTGAAATCATAAAAGTACGTTCAATAAGTCAACAAAATTAGCAGCACTTTTGAAAGTTTAGACAGAAGACAAGAAATAGCACTGGTACTGAATGCTTAGGTTCAGGTGCATCATAGCTAGATTCTGACACATTAGCTACAACTGAGATGTCAGCTTAGGCTTTTCTCATCTTTGAGACCACTGACTTAAATATTTACTGAACAGCTACCATGTCAACCATTGCTCTAGGCGCTGAGAATGTAGTTAAAAAAACCAACAAGTTTCCGCTTCTGTGGCACTTCTGGAACAGCTACCATGTCAACCATTGCTCTAGGCACTGAGAATGTAGTTAAAGAAACCAACAAGTTTCCGCTTCTGTGGCGCTTCCATTCTAGTGAGGGAGGGATTTACCTGTAATAAAATAAATAGCAAAATATGCAGTGGTAAGTGCCATTGAGAAAAATAAGTGAGTGTGAATATTTATTGATGGGATGGTTGGTTGCAATCTGAAGTAGGGTGACTGAGGAAAGACTCACTTCAGAACCTAATGCATTATTCCAATCTCTTTGCAGTCTCCAGCCCTTCTCCATGCTTATGTGCCTGTTGTAGATATCCTTGAAATACCCTGCCCTCCATCTCTTAAGACATTATTTTCTCTTTGAGACCCTTTTTCTTTCTTTAAAAGTTTATTTTCATGAAAGACAAACACACACAATAGGATTCTCATGCCAGGATTCCCCCCACCTTTTCCAGCCAGCATGATCGTAGCCCATGGTCACATGCACAAAGTGTGTACAA